CCTGTGCAAAGCCATCGTGCATCTCAAACGAAAGCTCGCCCTGGAGACCGCAAAGCAGCTGGTGGCAAGGATCCTCTGATGTGCAAAGCAAAACCGGAGACCACTAACCAGAGAGCTAGCATGAACAGGGTCTCTCCTTCAATGGAGCATTGAACACACTACAGGAAGGGATTTGGGGTAAGACATTTCCTCCTGGGCAAGGCGCCTGGCTGCCTTTTGAGGGGCAGAGGATCTCCAGGGTCCCCTTAGCAAAGGATGCCAGTCACTGTTTCGAAGGGAAAAGAGACATGGAGGGAGCAGAACAGGGGCTAGGTCAATTCTCTCTCTCCATCTCACACGTGTCCATAAAGAACCCCCCCCTTTTTTTTTAGCTTCCTAGTATCAAAAGGTGTGACCATGGCCAAGTTTAGATGCAGTCTAGACACATTCAGTGTATTTATAACCTTGGTGCAAGGAGGGGGTGTGATACGGGAGGTGAATGGCCAGCATTCAGAAAAGGAGCTTTTTTTAGCTTTGGGGTGGTGAACTTAAAGGGTCTCGCTCAGAGTCTGCTGACTCCACTGGGAATCTCGGGAGCCAGCGGGAAGTGAAAGGAGTCCGCTGTTGTCCAGGAATGGCCTGTTATCACAAAAACAAAGGTTGTCTTAGTGCAGAACGTACACATCTAGGGGAAGTCTGGCTAGCAGTTATCGATGTTGTCTAATGGCCTCCTAGTTGGACTACTGCAGGGCATTATCCATGGGGCTGCCTTTGAAAGTGGTCTCAAATTGCATCTAGGACAAAATTTATTTATTCCATTTCTATCCCACCTTTTTCTGCAATTTGCTCAAGGTGGTATACATGGTTCTCCCCCTCCTCAGTCCTTACAACAACCCTGTGAGGTAGCTTAGCCTGAGAGGCAGTGACTGGCCTCTGTATTACCCAGTGAGATTCACGGCTGAGTAGAGATTATATAACCTTGGCCTCCCAGGTTTTAGTCCATAGACATACATACCCATAAAACCCAATTTATAACTGCAATCCTGTACATTGCTTCCTGGCAGTAAGCTCTATCAAACTTGCTGCTCATACTTCCCGCTGCAATGGTTCAGCTTATAGAAACATGCAGAGCTTTTTACAAACAGCCTCGAGGCAACTGCAATGCAACCTGAAAGCTTTTTATTTAGAAATGTAAGTCACCTTGCAAAGGTTTAAACTGCTAGCAGGGACCCCTTCAAAGGACAGAGGATTAAAAGAGGATTACTCACATTCATGGAGGAGAGGGCTATTAGCCACTAGTGTGATGACTATTCTCTGCAGTTGGAGGCAGCAATGCTTATGAATACTGGTAGCTGGAAACCACAGGAGAGGAGAGGGCTCTTGTGCTGGGTCCTGCTTGTGGACTTCCCACAGGCATCTGCTTGGCCACCGTGAAAAGAGGATGCTGGACTAGAGGAGCCAACAGCTTGATTGAAGAGGCTCATTATGGTCTAACGTTCAGATGCATCCAACCTTTGCTTGATTATTTTCAAACGTAGGACAAGCATTGGTTACAGCTCATGGCTTTTCTGGACAGAGCTGAACTTTTCTGCAGCACAGGATCGGACAGCATGCTGTGCCAAACCAAGGTGGACTCTGCACACATATAAAAACATTTTGAAAAATATATTTAATTTTCCATAGCTCACCATCGCCATCTAGTGACACATTTGTATATTGCACTTTACAACACACTTAAAACGTTCTATTTGCAGCTGTATAGCTGAGTCCCAAGGCTCAGCCAAATGACTGAGAAGGAACAAAGTGGCCTCAATCTCCTCTCTGGGAGCCTGTACCTTTGCTCTTTCATGCTAAGGCAGCATGGTTTGGGTTAGTATTACCAGTGGCTGGCCCAAAGTCATCTAGAGAGCTTTATGACTTATTGGGATTTGAACCCTGGTCCTAGGCCTCTGCACCACACCAGTTCTCACTGTGAGTGTGATGTAAACTGTGCCCCACTGGCGAGTCTTTTGTGTATTCCTCTGGTCTTTTAAGCCAACACAAGCTAGCAAGGAGTTTTAAGAATTCACCCTTTGCTCCAGTTGTTCAAAGCCAAACGCATAACCAACTCGGCCACTGAACAATCTGCCCTTACTCTCTATCTCCTGTTGACATTCTCTTGGACTCTGGAGTATTAGTCATAGCCTGATGAAAAAGCAAAACCAAACCACCACCTTTGTTTCCCCGACAAATGGCTTGCATTTTGCAATTTTGGACATCCTTGCAAAGGGAGTCAGGTTGATAAATAGAGCTGTTGCAAGGCTGTCGGTAACTATGACGCCCACCTTTTGTAAAATGGCACATTGACTTGGGAGGTTGTAACTAAGTTGAGAATGCGGGACGACCCGCCCCATGCATTTTCTCGCTGCCAGGATCAGGCTCCTTGTGTACAGAACATGTGAGTTTCTAGGAAAATATTTACGTTTTTTTGGGGTACACAAAGCAACAACAACCACCCTACTCCATCTCATAAGAATCCAAGACAAAGAAAAAGGCTACATGCACACCATTCATTTAAAGCAATGGCTTTCCCAAAGAATCCAGGGAACTTTAGTTTGTTAAGCGTGCTAGAAATTGTTGCTCTGGGAGGGGTAACCTACAGTTTCCAGGATTCATTGGGGGAAGCCACACAGTGATGGGGGGGGGAGGCGCTGGCTCAGACAGAGCATTTTAAGTTGAGAAGGGACCTTGATGATCATCTAGTCAACCCCTGCTCATTGCAGGGACCTGCAGCTATGGCACCCCTGACCAAGGGTTGACCTTGGTAATATTCCACCCTGTCCGAGGCCAACATTTGATGCCCTTTTTCCAGCCCCTTGTGATGCCGGCTTAAGCACAGGATAAGCATTTCCAAGCTTTGGGAAGGTGCCATTCTTGGCACCATGCCCAGTGCCCCCATATCCGCTGCCCTATATCTGCCTCTGCCCTGACAGATGACTGCCCAGTCTCTGCTTCCAAATGCCCTTGGTGGAGGAGAGCACAGCCCCTCTAGAGGCGGACAGTTCCACTGTCAAATTGCCTGCAAATTGCCACCCTTTGGTCCTGCCCTCTGGAGCAGCAGCGACCGCCTCTGTGCCAGCTTCTGTGCAGCTCTTTAGATATTTTGCTGCCTGCCATGAGCAGGGCTTGCCTGCCCACAATGCGGGCTGAAATGGCCACCACAGGTACGGAAGCCCAAGAGGCAGCACAACAGACATCACATCTGCCCCGCTGCCTCCACTACCAATGGAGAAGTAGCAGTGGTTTCTGGCGACACTCTATAAGACCTTGCTAGAACCCGCCATAATTGCTGCCACTTCACAGGCACCGCCACACAACCCGGGTAAAAGAGGTTTCTGTTGGTGGGGCAGTGCAGTGACAGCAGAGAGGGGTGACACCTTCGCATTTTGCCACAGGTGGCAAAATGGGATGTGTGCCCCTGGTCACGAGCCCCATGGAGACATCTTGGAGGAGCTGGTTGCATTCAGATGAGGGGAGGGAGGAGCTGGCGTCTGATGACTCCATTGAGGGACCAGCGGGCTGTGTCAAGTGGTGTCTGGGCTTAAGGAACATCTGACTAGTCCTGCTGGATCAGGTCAATGGCACATCTTGTCCAGCATCCTGTTCTCGTAGTGGCCAACCAGATGCCCCAATGGGAAACCTGCAAGCAGGAGCTGAGCATAAGAGCAAACTCCCCTCCTGCAGTTTCCAGCAACTCGCATTCAGAGGCGTTACTGCCTCCAGCTGTGGAGGCAGAGCAACATGGCTAGTAGCCATTGATAGCCCATGAATCTGCCCCATTCTCATTTAAAGCCATCCAGGCTGGTGGGCATCATTGCTTCCTGTGGGAGGGAGTTCCATAGGTTAACAATGCGCTGCATGAAGAAGGACTTTCTTTTTTTCGGACATGAATCTTCCAACATTCAGCTTCATTGGATGGCTATGAGTTCTAGTGTTACCAGAAAGGAGAGACAGAGAGGTCTCTGAGTTGTCTGGCGATGATGCCACGGGTGCTGAGTCAGGTCCAGGGAAAGAGCCCAGCAGGTTGTATACCAGGGAGGGGCACAGTGGGCTATTAGAGAAGGAGCCCATCCCCCTGATGCCTGACACTCACACTCCATAGCTGTCTCCATCGCCACTCACCCCTGTTGCCAAATCCCCAAACACACCTAGCCTCCACAAGGAGGACACATGAAACGAAAGTTTAGTTCTTTATTGGCAAAGCACTCAGATGCATCCAGTGGCGTAGCGTGGGTTGTCAGCACCCGGGGCAAGGCAAGTAATTTGCGCCCCCTAACCCGTGGATTTGCGCCCCCTAACCTGTGGATTTGCCCTAACCCCAGATGTTGCGCCCGGCCCCCCCTGCACCCCCCACGCTACGCCACTGGATGCATCGGCTCCTAAGGTGCAAGAATCACTTGCACCACTCCTGCTAAATAGCTAGCTGAGCATCTCCTCCTTCAGATTTGCGCTCTGTCCCAAATGTTGGAGCAACAGTGTGCCAAGCCTCAGTGCATTTGAGCCACCTCTTGCAACATGGTGCTCACAAGCAACCGGCAACTTCTCCTGAACTGCATCTCCAGCTGCTCCTGTAGCTTTAAGCCGTTCTTTGTCCTTGGAGACAGTGGAGGAGGGCCAGACTCTCTCTCTGGGACTGTCTCTTCCACTTCTGCACCTTCCTGAACCTCTCTCCCCCCCCCCCCGCTCTGACTGCCCAGACTCTTGCTCTTCCCCCCCTCACATGGGTGGCACAGAATCCCACGAATCACGGCCCCCTTCCCCTGAATCACCCTCCTGCCTCTTTGCCTCCTCTGCCCCCCCCCCTTTGGAGTCTTGCCAGTCCCTAACATCAGAGGCGCCTGAGGGTAACTCAACCCTGGAGTCTCCTCCATACACCCTAGAGGTGGCAGATGCCAATTGGGACTGGTAGGGCAGAAGGCAGGGAGATCACCAGTAGGTGGCAGCAGCTGGTTCTGGTTTCATCTCCATCTTCCTCCTCCCAGGTGACTTCTACAAGGCGCAACACTGAGACGGAGGAAGGAGGAAGCTGACAGGTTGTGGCACCCCCTAGACTGCTTGTAAATAAGAAGGCAGGTAAGTGGAGGCTGGTGGGGCAGTGGCACGGTAGCAGGGTGGCCCATGGCTCCTTTGTGCACTTCAAACTCTCTGATGCCTCACGCCAAGCCTAAGGCCCAAACACAACTCTCGCTTTTTTGCAGGCCATGAGTGAAACATGCCACCCTGCTTCCCCGCAGCCCGCAGCCCCTTCCATGGCCCCTGCTCAGGCATCTCGGGGTGTTAGCGGCAAGCTGACAGGAATCTGTTTCCTCAGCGCTTGGGCCTCCCCGGCCTGGTCCCAGCAGTCGCGTGAAGCCTTCATGAGGCCCAGGAGGCAAGGTGTGTTTGAGTGGTTGCCTGGGCAACAGCCAAACACTCCCTGCATAGCATAAATGGTGGGATAACTTTGCGCTGAGAGCAGGGGGGAGTGATGGTCGACAGTTGCCCATCGAGCCTCAGAGTCCTGGGTTTAAAGCATCTTTTATCCCTTCAATCTATCTGGGGGCCAGCATTTAAACTATGCCTGAAACCTTGGGCCTTCAGCTGCTGCCAGTCAGTGTAGAGACTACTGAGCTGTTGTGGCAGCAGAAAAAGAGGGGAAATGCTGTAAGGTCCTAGGCTGTTGGGCATGTGTGTTGCGGACACACTAAAGTCTGGTGCTGGCCCTGCATTGTGGCTGCGGAAACTGTTTCAGAATGCAAGGTTTTGTAAATACAGGCTGCCTTCAAACATTCAGTCAAGGAGGGGGCCAAGCTGTACAGTGGTACCTCGGGTTAAGAACTTAATTTGTTCCGGAGGTCTGTTCTTAACCTGAAACTGTTCTTAACCTGAGGTACCACTTTAGCTAATGGGGCCTCCTGCTGCCGTCGTGCCGCTGCTGCCTCCACGCCACCGGAGCACAATTTCTGTTCTTATCCTGAAGCAAAGTTCTTAACCTGAAGCACTATTTCTGGGTTAGCGGAGTCTGTAACCTGAAGCGTCTATAACCTGAGGTACCACTCTATCTGGAAGGAGCCTCCTCTGTCAACTCTTATCACCCACCATCTGTCTGCATCAGCCTTAATTCTGGAATAAGCAGGCTCAAACTCTCAATGTGTGATGCTGCCTTACATTGAACCTCATCCACTTCTCCATCTCATCCAGTACTGCCTACTTCTGTGCTCCCGATGGTCTGGGGCGGAGGCTTTCCCTCATCAACTTGCTACCTAGCTGCTGCCCTAGACACCCTGTTTGTTGAGCATTCATCCTGATTTCCTCGCACAAAGCTGACGTGGGCATTTGACTATGCCTTGTCTTTATCGATTGTTAATCAGAATATTTTACGGGGTAGTTATGCAACTATGAGCATTCACCCTGGTTTACTTGTAAGGTGTTTATACGTATTCCCGTTCATTCACCCCACACTTTTCAATGTATTTCTGCATCAGCTAACCCCCAGATATATGACAACCCTGCAAGAAAATCAGGATGAATGAAGACTGGATAGTAATTACAGTGGTACCTCGGGTTAAGAACTTAATTCGTTCCAGAGGTCTGTTCTTAACCTGAAGCACCACTTTAGCTAATGGGGCCTCCTGCTGCCGCCGCACCGCTGAAGCATGATTTCTGTTCTCATCCTGAAGCAAAGTTCTTAACCCGAGGTACTATTTCTGGGTTAGCGGAGTCTGTAACCTGAAGCATCTGTAACCTGAAGCGTATGTAACCCGAGGTACCACTGTATTTCCAAATCTGAGCCTATGCATATAAATTAGCATATGCCAATTTTATGCAAATCTGTGTCCTTTTTTGTGTGTGTGGTGCATTTTCCTCCCCCCCCTTTTTTTTTTCCAGAATCAGGCAGGCTAATCCCATTAATTGCCCAAACAGTTTTGATTGCTGACTCCAGTCCAGGGCACCATATACAGGAGGTGGAAAAGTCAGAGCTAGGTACTGCTTTGTTGTTTTTTTTGCTCCGTGGGGCAGGCAGTGAGAATAATAGCTGCAGATCTCTGAATATCCCCACAGTCTATCTGCAAAATACCAGAGTTTATTGCTGTTAAAATGGATTTCAGAAATCCGTCCCTCCCCGTCTGGGCCAGCTCAACAGTCCTGCTGCCCCAGAAGGGTGTACTCCAGCCCTCTCGGCCCCTTGACATGCACACCCTGGATCCCCTCCCTTTTTCGCTCCCCGTTTGCAAAATACTTCATCCAGAGCAGCACATTCCTGAATGAGTGCCATATCGCTGGCTCGCGGAGTAACTCTACATCACACCATGTGGCTGAGGGGAAAATACGCATCAGCCCCACAGATGGGTGTGCATGCAAGGGTGGGACCAGCAGCCCGAACTTTCCAAAGGCCTGCCTCCTCTCCCCCCCCCCCGACCACCAAGCCCCTCTTTGGCCCAGAAAAGTTTGTGTTGTGGACAGCAACGGTAGATCCTGTACTATCTCTCCAAGGATGTGAAATCTGGGCGGCAGACTGTAGGCTTTGGCTGCCCCCTGGTGGCAGCTGAAGTGTGAGCAATTTTTTGCCAACCTTTCAACCTCTACTTCCTGACCGACTGCCGCTCTTGTTTCGCTGAACAGCGCAACATGCACATTTGCCACATATAAATCCAGCCTGCATTCTCCAAACATACGTGCGTTCCAGGCAGCTGCTATAAATTGTTCCCAATCTGAAGCTGGTCTGCTCATGTGAAGGGAGAATCTTCCCCATTCCTTGGTTTGTAAGAGTGCCGCAGCTGTTATAACCATTCAGGCCTGTGCGGAGCTTGTCTGAGGCCTGGGGCAGGATAGAATAAAGTCTTGTAAGAATAAAGTTATAAACTCAAACAATAGCTTAGCTCTCTGAGATGCCCAGGGCAAGTGTATCCAGCTGCCCCCACAGCTGCAAAGGTCTGTTGTGCTTAACATGTGGAACTCACAGCCACAAGATGGCCACCAACACAGATATCTTTAAAAAGGGATTAGTTAGATTCTTGGAGAATATTAGAGGTGGCTACTCCTGATAAGACATGGAACTGTTTTGTTGCGCTTTCTAATTATGTATGGTTTTTGTAATGGATTTTATAGCTGTGACCTCTTAGAAGCCATTTGGACATGTAAGTGGTAAATAAATAAATAAATAAATAAATAAATAAATAAAGTTATTCTACTGATTTACCGGTATATGCTTCCTTTCCCCCCGACCAAGGCTAGAAAGATGCTCTCTGTGGCACAAATGGGTCAGGATTCCAGGGGGTTGAACTAGATGACCCTTGAGCGTCTCTTCTAACTCTACAATTCTATAATTCAATGTGGCTTACACAAATTAAAACAACACCGATAAAATGATGATGAGCCTGGCTGTTGGATCATTTTCTCTAGATCCCCAAGCTCCACAAACTTCGTCAAGTGGAATCGTTCCTTGCATACATTTTGGAAGGGCCATGGTCCTCTGGGTGTTTTGGACTGGACCTCCTGTAGCTGCAGGTCAGCGCCAGGGCGTCTGCTTTGCATGCGAAGGTCCAAGGCTGAGTCCCACAACACATGCACACACTTTAGCTGTCCTCTGCAATGCAGCCTCTGAAAGAGGAAGGGGAATGATTAAATGCACCTCAGGGCTTTCCCCCTTCTTTACAGGAAGGGTCGTAGCTCATTGGTAGAGCATTTGCTTTGCAGGTAGAAGCCAGGTATGATCCACAGTAGCATCCTGCAAAGGTTGGGAATGTACCCTGCTTGAAAGCCTGGAGGGCACCTGCCAGTCCGTGTAAACAATACTGAGCTAGAGGGGCCAACGGTCTGACTCAGTATAAGGCAGCAATCTGTTTCCGTTATATATAATGTATTGAACAGGGTGCATTGACTGCAGATGCAGCTGGAGGCGATCTGGTTTCTTGGTCACTTGGAGCCACTTGCTGCCTGCCCTGGCTCCATTTCCCCCTCCCCTCCAGCAGCCTGAGATGGGTCATCATCCATTTGTCCTCATTCTTCTTTGGTCCGCTGGCTGCTTGCCTGCACGGTAGGATGAGTGTTGCCTGGTTACTGTGCGCCAGACCATGTCAAGAAGATTCTCACATTCAGACCATCGTGACTGCAATACCAAATCAGAAGCAGGCTTTAAAGTGGGTCAAGGAGATCCATTTGGGGGTTCCAAATAATTGGCCTCGCATAGGGTGTCACATTACGAAAGATTCCAAAAGTCCACCCCTGTCATGTGCTAGATGCGTCAATGGTCTCACTCAATGTGCAGCACCCTCCTATATTCCTGTGCCTTAAGAGAATATGCAGGAGTTCCCAGGTTCAATCCTAAACAGGGAAAAGACTTCCTGTCTGAGATCCTGGACAGCTGCTGCCAGTCCTTATTGATAATGCTGAGCTAGGAGGATCAATTATTTGACTCGGTGTAAGGCACTTCCTGCGTTCCTAATCAATTCCTGACAATGCGCAAACATGCAGAATTATCCTCCTGGGGTTCTTCCCCTTCCCCCCTACGCTCACATCCCCTTTTCTCCATTACATGCCTTTTGTGAATTCTAAGACCGCCCATCGATATGATGTTCCCTGGGGCATCTTACAGGCCCCCCACTTGGCCTCCTCCACCAAGTCACCTTCTCAGACTGAGCTGCAGCAGATCCAATTTCCCTTCTCCAACTTGTTAAAAGGTTATTTGGCAGGCCTGCGGGCTGAGCAAACCAGTTCTGTCCCCAGAGCTGCACGTCGGCTATAAATAATCCTTTGGCAATGTGACGTGCCAGTTGCTTAAGGCTTAGCATTTGCTCCTGATAGGACATCCCCGTCCCCTGAGCTGATGTGGGAGGCCTGTAGGTGAAAGGAGGGAGACACAGAAAGCACTCTTGAACCACTTTGTACCACTCTACCCCCGAGGAATTCTGGAAACTCTATTTCATCAAGGGTGCTGGGAATTATAGCCCAACTTTCAGCACCTTAAACAAACTACAGTTCCCAGAAGTCTCTGGGGGAAGCCATGACTGTTAACATGGCATGTGTTGTAATATGGTTTTTTAGCCTATCGGCAATTTTAATTGTTTTCGGAATTATTAATATAAACGTTTTGTTTATTGATAATGCCATTGTTCCCCCTCCCTCTCCAAATCAATTCTCTCTGGCTTCTGAAATTTCAGCAGGCACTAACAATCTGCTTCCAAGAAATCTTTTTCAGTCGTAAAGACTAGAAATTTGTTTAGTTTTGTTTTCAATGGGGATTCTCAGGTAGTGGAATTCTGGGCTTTTTAATTTGCTCCAGGACAGAGATCTGTGGCAATTCAATAATTCAAAAGGATTGTTGCTGGAGTATAATAACATCTGATTGTACAAATCAAGTTCCACAGTTGGAGTTGTTGACTGTCACTTCACAGACCTGTTGGTGCTTTTTGTTTTTGGTTTTTTTTTTGCCTTCAGTTCAGTACTGTATTAGATAATTTCCCACTCTATTCATCCCACAATCTGATCTTTTTAACTTACTTATATCCTGCTATTCTAAGCATAAAAACACCACTCAGAATGTCTTGTGATGAAGAACATTACAGTTTCATACAATGATCTGTACAGTTTTAATTTATACAGTTAAACAGGTATTACAGGCTGTAATGTCATTGAGTTCCCCCATTCCACTTCACTGGGCTGCTTCTTACGTGGGTGTGTAAAGCTTAGCGAGCAAAATGACATCATAGCATGTGGGTGGTATTTCTAGATCAGGGAAAATAGAACCTTTTGTTGGACACCCGTCAGCTCCAGCCAGCATGCCCAATGGTCAGGGATGATGGCAGTTGTGGTCAAGTGATACCTGGAGGGTCGCAGGTGCCCTGGCCCTGACCTAAACGAACCAGGTCCCCGCCTCTTACCTGCCCTAGACACAACAAGAACTCACTGTCCAGGGAAATTTCTAAATTTGCAAATTAGGAATGCAAAAAATGTTGCCTTGCGGGTAGAGTGTGAAGGCCTGGTATTGTGATAGTTTTAAACTCAAGGTTTGGGGGAAATGTGCTTGTTGGAACAGGGTTATCGACTTGTCTTTGTGTTTTGTGCATTTTGTGTTCTCATTTTATATTTTTGTGTTGTGAACTATTCTGTGATCTCTGGATGAAGGGCAGTGGTATACGAATTTAATAAATAAAATGATAAAGGAAAGATGTTGCAACAGGGAGAAAGGTAAAGGTTAATCACCAGGACAGAGGATTGTTTACCTTCTGCTGGGCCCTCAAAACCCATATAAATCACATGGTTGTTGGGCCACTATGACTGCAAACAAGACGGGGAATGTCTTATCAAGTGTAAACTGATGAACTTCCCAGGAGCAAAAGGTCAATACTGAAATTGCATGAAGCAACCAGTTTACACACAAGCACACACATGGAATAATTAACAGAAGCTATTATTTTAAGCGATATATACAGCAAACGACTTTCTACCAACTCAGACCACTGACCCATCTCACTCAGTATTCCCTACACTGACTGGCAGTAACTCCAGGGTTTCAGAGACAGGGAGTCTTTCTCAGCCCTACCTGGAGATGCCATCAGGGACTGAATCAGGGACCTTCTGCATGCCAGACACGTGCTCTTTCTTGGAGAGCTGCTACCACTAGGCCATTGACAACAGCTAGATGGATCAATAATGCAGCCTCGTCCCAGTTCTGAGAGATGCCTGTTGGTTTTTTTATAAGCAGGCTGCTGGCTGCTGCTGTTTTCTTATCGACCAATTTCCTAGTGCATCGCCTCACGGCTTTTTCTTTGGATTGCAAAAGGTTGCAGGTCTTGTTTGTCTATGATCTGTCTCTTTCCATCTGCTGCCTTTGAGGGTAAAGTTGAGCGGAAGGCTGGAGGGATGCGGAAAATGAAATAAAACAAAGCAAATCAGGAAGGAAGGAAAGTCACGCGGCGTGCAGGGGTCATCCCCCCCTCCTGCAGGCAGAAGAAGGAGGCTGTGTATATAATGATGGGTGTTATGGGGTGGGGTTAGATTCAGACAGTTCCCATTGCCTCCCCTGGGCTTGAAAAACCATCTCATTCTTCTTTGAATCAATCATTTCTATTGATTTCCCCCCATACCACTGTCGAATAGGAACATAGGAAGCTGCCTTAGAACAGACTCAGGCCATTGGTCTATCTAGGTGAATACTATCTACTGCACTGACCAGCAGCAGCTCTCCAGGGTTTCAGAAAGGGGTCTCTCTCTGTCTCCCAGAGATGCCAAGGAATTACGGAAAGAGCACAGCTCACTTGTAGAGCATCTGCTTTGCATGCAGAAGGTCTCAGGTTCACTTAATAATAATAATAATAATAATAATAATAATAATAAGTTATTATTTGTACCTCGCCCATCTGGCTGGGTTTCCCCAGCCACTCTGGGCGACTTCCACAAAGACCAAAAATACACTAATATGTCATACATTAAAAACTTCCCTGAACAGGGCTGCCTTAAGATGTCTTCTGAATGTCAGGTAGTTGTTTATCTCTTTGACATCTGCTGGTAGGGCGTTCCACAGGGCGGGCGCCACTGCCGAGAAGGCCCTCTGCCTGGTTCCCTGTAGCTTTGCTTCTCACAATGAGGGAACCGCCAGAAGGCCCTCGGCGCTGGACCTCAGTGTCCTGGCAGAACGATGTGGGTGGAGACACTCCTTCAGGTATATTGTGCTGAGGCTGTTTAGGGCTTTAAAGGTCAGCACCAACACTTTGAGTTGTGCTCAGAAACGTACTGGGAGCCAATGTAGGTCTTTCAAGACCGGTGTTATGTGGTCTCGGCGGCCGCCCCCAGTCACCAGTCTAGCTGCCGCATTCTGGATTAGTTGTCCATACCCCCAGTCTGGGGAGGGCGGCATTTCTATGGCAATGCACCTGTACTAAAGACTAACTCTTTAGTCATGCAGAGAGATGCTTAACAGACTTGGCTAGGGCCATGTACTGAACAAGGAGACTGGCTCCACCACAGGCTTGGAGGAGGCCCGGAATAGCATCCAAAGCAATCTCTGCCCCAGTTTTTGTTTGTTTTATAGAATTCTACCCCACCCATTTCTCCTAAGAGACTCAAAGTGGCTAACAAACAACAATAAAATGAAATAAAACAACTGCAATGTCCTTAGCCCTCCCTAGATGTACATTCAAATTAATCACTGCCTCTTTTTGTCTAATCCCGTCTTAAAGCCATCCAGGTTGGGAGCCAGCACTGCATCTTGTGGGAGCGAGTGCTGTAGTGTTGTATATTTTCTTCTCCTCTTGTGCTCTTAAATTACATTGTTTTGATTCAGTGCTGTTTTTCAATATGGTAAATTATTAATGTGTTTTATAAATATGTTTATAACTGTTGTGCTTTTTAGCTGTATCAGTTTTTAATTTATGTTGTGAGGTGCCTTTGGAGAAGGGTGGGAAATAAATAAATAAATAATTTTTTTAAAAAAATGGTAACGCCCCGCCAGGTCCTGCTTAGCGTACATCCATTGAAGAGAATGAACCCTTAGTGAGTTATAACCATTACCTTCAGTGGGTCTACTCTAAATCGAACTAGCAATTGGCCATTGGATATCACTCAATGGGCCTGCATTTGACTAAAACTTAGTTGGATACAACCCTTTGTTGTCTTTTTACTGCATCGGACTCTGCAGAGTCGCAGACAGATCCTGTGCTAAACCATGAGAGATGGAAGGTACTCCTTACTCGCAAGTAAACCCGCCTAGTACCACAATCTTCAAACCTCTTACAAACCCCGCCATCGCCCCACCCACCCCTCTCAGAATGCGCCAATCCCCTTCGAGCTCCATTCATAAAATTAACATTGAAGCAAACTGTGCGCTGGCCCCACCTCCCTTTCTTAAGTCATCGTGGGCTGAACTCTATTGCGCCGGCCGCCGCGCCCCCTTGCCTGCGTCGCGGGGAGCCTATCGCCGCCTCCGGAACGGGACGACGTCAGAGCCGGCGCCACGCCTACTTTTTTTTTTTAGTTTTAACCTCGCAGCCGGCCAGGCTGCCTCGCGGTTGGCTCGTTATGCACGTGGAGCTGGCTGCCGGCGTCGCGTGACCTGGCTGGCTGTGTTGGCGCAGGCCCAGTTCTGCCTGGCCGTCCTCGGCATTGGAAGCAGCAGTAGAAACTGCGGGGATTGTGGTGACCGGACGGGGCCGGGCCGGCAGGCAGGCGGTTAGGCAGGCATGGCCGGACCCACGCAGGAGAAGAGCACGCTGCTGCACCTCTTCGCTGGAGGGTGAGTCCTTCTCCCTCATTTCATTCATCCTTCTGGGCTCATCCTTAAAGCGTTAGGTTTTCTCTCCCCATTCATCCTTATCCCCCCATCCTCATTCATTATCCCCCCTCCCACACTTTATTCATTAATCTCCCCCATCCACCCCCTTCTTCCTCCATTCATCAGTCTTCTGTAAACCGCTTTGAATTTATTTGTTTTTTACAATCAAGCGGTGTTTTAATTTTTACGAAATAAATAATAAATAAATTGTTCCCTCTATTTATTTTTCTCTCACATGAACGCCTTCTCTCCATTCATCTCTTCTTTCTTGATTTCTTACCTTCCCTTTTGACCACTACCCTTCCTCTCCCTCTCTGAATTTCCATTTATTTCTTGTCTCAAATCTTCATTCTGTCTCTCTTTATATATTACCCTGCTTTCTTTTATGTCATTATCCTCATCTTACCCATTTTCTCATCCTCCTCTTTCAAGGGGGTGGGGGGGGAGGAAATAACGCTGTTAATGGCTACTGCCCATGATGGTTATGCTGTGCTTCCAGGCTCAGAGGCAGTAAAAAGCTAACGCTTCTGAATATCACTTGCCAGAAACCACAGAAGGGTAGAGGGCTCTTGTGCTCTTGTGTTCCTGCTTGCAGGCTTCCCATAATGGGCACCTGATTGACCACTGTGAAAATAGGATGATGGACTAGATGGGCCACTGGCCTAATCCAGCAAGGCTTTTCTTATGTTTTCCTCCATTCACCCCTTTCCACATTCTCCTCTTCTTTCTTCCTACCTTCCCTCTTCTTTGTTTTTCTCTTCCGTGACTTCAAAATGGTACATCCATATACAGGTGCAGCCTACCTCTGAGGTCCTTGAGAATGCCTGCTAAGGGGTGCCCAGCAGTGCACATTCTATTGGAAGCAAAATGCTTGGATAAATGAACCTTCCATCCAACCTAGTAGGCCTTGTTTATTTATAAGGAAACACAAACATACACATGTGCTCCCCACACACTTCATAACCCCTTGCTGGTGATAGCTTGTGACATTCATATAGTGCTTTAGAATGTCAGTTGTGTTTGTACACATGTGGCATAGTGGTTAGGCCAGGGGTGCAGGAGCCTGCAGCCCTCCAGGTGCGTTTGGGTTCCATCTCCCATCGTCCAGTAGTCGGGGCATCTGGAAGCCTGCAGGTTCCCCTTTCTTGGGTTTGAGTGTCAGACTGGAAACAGGGAGATCTGGGTTCAAATCCCCCAAATGAACCATGAACCTCACCAGGTGCCCTTGAGCCAGTTTGCCCTCCATCAACTTGATCTATCTCTCAGGATTATTGTAAGGGTAAAATCTGCACATGTGTCAGTGAGAATCAGCACTGTGTTGAGCTCCTTGAAGGAAAGACAGGCTGTAAATGTAATAAAAATAATAATTCACTTACAGCAGCCCTGTGAGGTAGGCCAGTTTACTTATTCCCTCATGGCTAGTGCCTTAAATGGCTTTTCAGAAGGTTGGAAATAATTATGCAGGGTGTGCCATTTCATTGCATCCATGTATAAATGCAGGACTCTGTCCTTTTTGTGAGCTTTCCAGAAGGTTGTGATTGGACACTGGGCTGGGCCCTTTTATTTTTGGTCCTTTACTTTCCCAGCAGAGCAAGATCAGACCTGTGCTCAGGCGTGAACTCATTGTGTGGCTTTGAGCAAGCTGCTGGCTCTCTCAGCCACCACCACCCTGTCTGTAAAATGGGACTAACATATCTCAGTGAACAGTAGAGCTTTTCAAGTGCTTTACAGATGAAAAGTGTACATTACAAGAGCAATGGTATAAAGTGGTTTGGGCTACACCTGCAGCCACAGCTCACTGGTGGGGTGTCTGCTTTGCATGCAGAAGCCTCCTGGTTCAATCCCCAGTGGGGGTAGGACTGGAAGAGAATTTGTGCCTGATGCCCTGGAGAGCTGCTGCCAGTCAGTGCAGACAATTCAGAGCTAAATGGGACAGTTGTATTACTCTGTATAAGGCAGCTTCCTATGGACTACAACTCCCAATGTAGTTGTAGTCTAAGACTTCTGGGGGGCGCCAGGTTGGCGAAGTCTGCTTCTATTATTTCCCAAGGCAGGTTTATTGCATGCATTGCAAGGTTGGGGCAGACCCGTTCCTCTTGCCATCCTGGGCCTCATGGACACCTGAACAGGCATGACCAGATCTTAGGCAGGAATCTGGGGAGACTTTAGAATGTGTCTGTGGTTTGTTTGTTTGTTTGTTTGTTTGGAAGTACTGTACCATAGCCTCTTTTTTAATTGTCTTGAAAGTGAAAATAAAAGCATTTCTATTATTATTATTTTAAGTCCTTGTTCTATTCAGAAAGGACTTCCACGTTCTGAGGATGTGGGTTTCCCCGGCTTGCTTTTTATAGACAACTAATCTGGGCGTGCAGAGACACTAAATTGTGTGTGATCCGTCCCTCCCTCCCTCCAAAGTCTGCTTCATGCATCTGCTTATTTGTGGTTAGCAAAGTGTAGGGAAATCCTGCTCTCCCCTCCATCACTACTAAAAAAACACCCAACCCAGCTAGCTAGCTTACTCTTGGCTTTCGGCTCCCCCTTTTCATTTGTCATGCTTTAGGCAAATACTGCATTATAAATTGTTGCTTCCACGCTGCCTTGTCTGCTCTGCGCTGGTTCTTGGGCAAAGAGGGATGTTATACGGATATATCTGTCCAAGTGTTGCATCATACCAGGCCAGAGTAGAACTGAGGCAGCTTTGTGTTTTGTAAGCAAGAGTGCTGTCTGGGTATCTTTTTTGTGCAGCACGCTGTGTGTGTGGTGTTTTGATCCATGGTGACGGGGGAAGGACCCTGGATCTCAGATCTAGGTCTCTTCTTACATGGGAAGTAAACTCAGCTTTTAAAAATAGAACCGACTTCTAAGTAAGCAGAGCACATTCCCATGCATGTTTATGAGGAAGGGATGTAGCTCAGAAGGTCCCTGGTTTGATCCCCAGCATCTCCAGGTAGGGCTCAGAGATACCCTGCCTTAAACACTGGAGAGTGGCTGCCTGTCAGTGTAGGCAGTACTGTACTGCGTTAGATGGGGCAATTGGCTGACTCTGAATAAGGGAACTTTCCTGTGTCTACACAGAAGGAAGTCTACTCTGGGGTCATTAGTGCTTTCTCCCATATAGATGCACATAGGATTCCATGCCAGCCTCAATATCATTTGGGGATGGATCTGTGTTGTGTTTTTAGAAAATGTGCCCTCTACAGTGGTACCTCGGGTTAAGTACTTAATTCGTTCCGGAGGTCCGTTCTTAACCTGAAGCACCACTTTAGCTAATGGGGCCTCCCGCTGCTGCTGCACCGCCGGAGCATGATTTCTGTTCTCATCCTGAAGCAAAGTTCTTAACCTGAGGTAATATTTCTGGGTTAGCGGAGTCTGTAACCTGAAGCATATGTAAACTGAAGCGTATGTAACCCGAGGTACCACCACTGTATATGGGGAGGGAATTGCAGACTGATTTGTAATCCCTGAACACACACACTCTCTCTCTCTCTCTCTCCCTCTCTCTCTCTCTCTCTCTCTCTCTCTCTCTATGTATAAATGCTTGTTTTCTCCTCTTGTGTGCAATGACTGTTTTCTTAAAATGGTAACTTTCTTCGTTATTACATCAGTGCCTCAAGAGTTTCAGTGCTGTTACTTGCAGACTGAACCAAGACAGAGGATTATTTCCCCGCATTGTATGCCTTGACTGGCTTTCTAATGACAGGTTACCGGTATCTGTCTGTGTCATCAGAAACTGTTTTGTGAATTGCCAGCTTTCAGTACATACCGTAATTAGCACTTTCTGTAACTTCCTGTGTTTCATCTCCCTCTGACTTCGCTTTTTACGCTCCTCCCACCTGACCAGGTATACACAGTCATACCATGCATTCAAAGCTGTGACATCAATGAACATGGCCTTCTGAAATTCATAGAAGCATAGATTTGTAGAGGACCTCAAGGGTCATCTAGTCCAACCCCTTGCAATGCAGGAATCACAACTAAGTGATTCCTTAGTCATGTTATTCTTTCATATAATGTGTGTGATGCTTTATAAAATGTGGAGCTAGTGCGGCATAGTGTTTAGTTTCTCAAACTTTGTCCTCCCTTGCCACGGCTAGCTATGGATGATGGGAGTTGTAGTCCAACAACTTGGAAACCCAAGTTTGAGAAACCCCGGAGAGTGTTATAGACTAAGACCTGGGGGAGACCAGGGTTCAAATCCCCACTTGGCCTGAGGTGTACCCTTCTGCCAGTCACTGCCTCTCAGTCTAGCCTACCTCACAGGATTGTTGTGAGGATAAAATAAGAAGGAGAACTATGTACTTACCCTTGAGGTGGGATATAAATTTAATAAAATATACTATTACTCAGAGTAGACCCACTGAATTGATGGACTTGTGCTAGCCATGTTCTTTAATTTCATTGTGTCTACTCAGTGTAGGATGAACATTGGATGCAACCCCCAGAGGTTTGGATTTGGTTTCAGGGGACCCCCAGGGATGAAGCCTTTGTAACAAAGACTCTCTTATTTTAGTTTAATCCAAGGCATCATTGCATCTACGGAGGGTCCATTGAGTTGAGATTCCTGCATTGCAAGGACCCTGAGGTCCGTTCCAGCTGTGCAGTTCTATGATTCTGTGAGTTCGATAGACATTACTTCCTGGGAAGTGTACTTAGGATCACACTTTTTTTTTTTTTAATAATATTTTATTAGGATTTTTTCAAAAAATTAACAGCCAACGAAAGTCAACAAAAATCACAAAAAACAGACAACAAACATCAAAAATCCAAACAGAAAAAAGAAGAATGCAAAAGAAAAAATTTAGCATAAAAAAAAACACTCTTTCATATTGGTAACTTTCAAAACCTTATTCTCTTTACTTCCACCCGCCTTCCCTTCTTGTATTCCACTTTAAAAAAATTAGTTCAGCAAGATCATTCATTATTTATTTTAAACCTTTATCCCTCCCTTTATAGTCTTGTTT